AGGTTTTGTAATTCCCAATTTGTCTGATTTCAGAAAGGTGACAGGATACAAACACTTCGAGTTATGAAACTCTCCCTGTAGGACCGGAGGCGCCCTCTGTAATCAAACACTTTAATATTTGTGCCGTGAAGCATGTAAATAGTCACAGTAAATGCAATAAATAAAGTTGAAAGTCGTTTGTAAGTAATTCATGTCAGGGCTATCTCCCAATGAGTTTTACTGCCAAACCTCTAAGAAAATAAGTTTCGTTTGGAGCTTTGGAGATGTCAGAATTGCAAATGCAGACCTGTCTCTACATAGGTGTGTACTGCCTCCCAATAGGAAAACATTTCTAATAATGAGTTGAGGTTAAAAAATAAAATTTAAATTTAAAAAAAGTCTGGAAAACACTGCATGATACTATTGCTGGAATCACTTTCCATTGGAGCTAGGGAGGGATAGGGGTGATATATTCCCTATATCCATAAACCCAATGTTTTAACAAGCAGAAACCCAGGGCCAGAATGGGGAGGGGGTCTTCGGAAGCCACCACCTCTCCCTCCCAGAGCGAGGCCCGGGGACCACACGCCTCTCGGAGCCCCATAATAGCCACCGAGCCAGCCACGCATCTGAGATGGTATTCTCTTCAGGTGTTTGTGAGCGAGACTCAGGTTGCGAGCGGGCACTTCCATCGGTGGCCTCCCCCAGCGGGACAGGCCCAGGCTCTGGCCGCAGCGGGCGCTGCCAGCGGGCGCTGCCCGGGCCCCGTAAATTTCCCAGCCTGCGGTTGAAGCGGGTCCCCTCGGACTGGCAGTTGACATTTCCCCCTGCGGCGTTACATTCGTGTTTCCACGTTTAACATGTCAGACTGAATGAGTGTTGCGGTCTGAGGATTTCAGAGATTTATAACGGAGTCTTGAAAATTTACTTAAGGAATATGTACTTCCCCAAGCAATAACAAATATTACTACAAATGGCCATATTAAGTTAAAGTAACTTAGGCATTTCTGATTTGTAGGAACGTTCAAATTAATCCTCGGCAGTCTCAGTTTCCGAACGAAAACACGGGTTGGCCCGGCCGCAGGCTTCCCAGCGGGTAGGCGGCAGTGAACGAACCCTCGGGAGACAGGTTTTTCCTTAAGAATATTCAGTTCTCCCCTTTTGTGGAAAAGTAACACTGAAGGAAGAGACCCTGAGAAACCAGCCCTCGTTGTATGTGGGAACCAGGGAACTTCAAAGTTCTTTTTTTTCTATTTTTTTCTACAAACTGAGATGGATTATTTTTATAATTTTTAAAAAGCAAAGAAGCCTTTCTTATCCATTCTTGATTCCTTCCCTGATTAGTGAGTAGGCAAGGATCCTGGCTCAAATGCTTTCCCTCTTCAGTAAGAAAATAATTACTATAGTGTCAATGCACTGGTCCATGTTTGACAACTGGCTCCTGGGGAGAGGGAAAGCCCTGATTTGTAATATTTGTCCATTTCCATGGTGCAGGACTCCCACCGTGGCCAATGCCAAGCTACCACATGACATCACTGGGTGCGAGCCCACCGTTAGGCAGTAATTCTACCAAACAGAGCCCATACTAATGGGAATAACCTCAACAACACAAATAATAGTAAAATGAAGTAAAATAATTATGAACCAATAAGTTTTCAGTATTACTCCTTTGTATTTAATATACTTTAATTATAATTTCACATAATTTAAACTTTAATAATTGGTGTATTAAATTAAATTAGCTTCATTTTGAGGATGGGGGCTCACCAAAAGCCTGAAAATGGAAGGCTTCACTCTCACAAGATGGTCTTGGCAAAAACCTGGGCCGATGGAATATTGCTTTGAAACGTTAGGGTTTAATGTGTCCAGAAGCAGGCAGAGTCCTGGTTGATAAGTGAGGGAGGAAGAGGAGCAGGAACTGGTGAGTTTCAGCCGTGCTCCCACGGCAAAGCAGATTGCCGTCCACAGCCAACCCAACGTACGTGGAGGCCAAGGCGGGGGATGCGAGTGTGTTGTTGTGGCAGTTTGTAGTTGTTGTTTTATATCTGTGCTTAAGAGAGCATTTCTTTTACAATAAAAACCATGAGCTATTGACACTTTTTAACCAGCGTGAGAGGAGGCATGGAGGGAACCCCCCATCTTAACAAGAGTTTGTCTGACACTGCCTGTGGCTGTCTGGCCTGATGCCCAGTCGGTCAGCCATTGCATAATCCACACTATACAAGAGCCATGGACACACAGCATGCCCTCAGCAGCCCGGAGTCGGGTAAGGGATGGAGATAAACCCTCAGCGTAAAGCTTTGTGTAACGATAACAGCTCTGGGTGCTGAGCCACTTCCTGTGTGACAGGCACCAAGGCCCCATGAGGTCAGCATCCATTGCCCTGGTCCCCAGCAGGTGGTCCTCTCCCATCGTGAACTCGGAGACTCACAAGATGACCAGGGCCACGGTGGGCACTGGGTCTGTTCAGAGGGGCGGTGGGCTAGCCACAGCAGACAGCCAGACAGTGTCCACCTCTGCGGAGTCCTGTGGAGACAGTCTGTTCGGATGCAGAGTCAGGTGGCCCTGGGGCAGGGGTGGAAGCTGCCCGGGGGGGAGTGGAGGTTGGGCTCTGGAACACTCCAGGGGCATGCTCCCGGTTCCCCACCGGGACATTTCTGGGACAAGGTCCCCATGCTGGAAGCCCAGGTTCTGTCATCCTATCATTTGCATGGACTTCTCCTTCCTCCTGGTCTAGATGTGATGATGGACCAGTCTTGGATGGGACTTATCCTGAGGAGCACAGTTGACATATGAGTATCTTAGCAGGGTACGCGATTAACCAAAGATCAAATTCTCCTGCAGAAAGGGAACAGATGCATGTCAACCCTTCTTCTATAACTGTTAGTCCCATTTCACAGAAATAACACTGAGGTTTAGAGATGTTTCTCAGCTAGCTTGCCTCGATCATGTAGTCAGTAATCTGGCCCACTCCTAGTCCCATTTTTTTTTCCACCCAAATGTGAGATGTGAGTTTCTTGTCCTCTCCCACAGCATACCTGTGTGTATCTGACTATTTGAAACAGGAACTTGAACTCTTACCATGAGCACTACTGGTCCTCCTGGAGGAAGCATACGCTCAGCCTGTGGTTCTGACCGCACTGCTAGCCCCACATTGAGAAGCTCAGCACCAGCCGCTGGTAGAATAATAAAAGACAGCCCTAGCTCCTTGCTTTTCTCTGAGAGGCCACATTTTGAGTAGAAGTTTATGGAGAGGGGATAAAAAGGCGGTTTTTAAGAGCAGCAGAGCCATCTGAAAAGAAACGAGTATCTGCTACTGGGTGCAAGCAATTCTGCTTTGCATTGTGCCTTTCTTTTTAAATCACCGCCATCCTGTAGCACCAATCTTAAGCGCTCAAGGCGAAGCATGCAGCTTTTACTGCAGTTCTGCATATAAAATGCAGTTTATGGATCTAGATTGTCTTGCAGAAGCCATCCAAAAAATGCGCCATTCATGCTCCAGGTACAAAAGTAGGCACTTTAAGACACTAACGATATTGGAATATTGTTTCATTGGTTGGTTGATTGACTCTTGGCTTTTACCAGGCATCAGAACTATCTGTTGATGTCCCAAAGTTTAGAACGTGAGGAAGACAAATGCTAGGGAGTTTTGTGGGCAGGATGTGAAATGGGTTGAGTGAAACAGCATGTTTAAGTGCAGTGGAATTTATGATGAATTGTATTGAAATGGTCAAAACACAATTGATGGAGGGGGCACGGTACGTAGAGGGCTTGAGGGGCTGGTGATGTTCTGTTTTTAGCCTGGGCAGTGGGCATAGGTGCCTGGTTTATTACTCAGATGCTTTCAAACACTCAGTTCACTAGGCTTCCCATTGCAGTTTTCGAAAACACAGTTGGTAAAGTCTGCCTGCCAATATTACAGTCTAGCTGGCATAGCTCAGTGGTTGAGCATCGACCTATGAACCAGGAGGTCACAGTTTGATTCCCGGGCAGGACACATGCCCAGGCTGTGGCCTCAATCACCACTGTGGGGCATGCAAGAGGCAGCCAACCAATGATTCTCTCCCATCATTGATGTTTCTGTCTCTCTCTTTCCCTTCCTCTCTGAAATCAATAAAAATATATTTTTTAAATAATAATAATACAAAAAAAGATACTTGCTCTTTAGGTAAGAGATATTTCATAGATTGTTTTGAATCTCATATTACATGAATTTATGGAATATTATGTTATGCAGTGAGGAAAGAACAGTTTGAATATTACTGTCCCAAGAGGAGTGTTGAAAGAATAATTTTGAAGTTCCCAAGATGCAATTACTGGGAAAGGCCCCCTTTATGGGCAATAAAATCATGCACAGATCCTCCGCGTGCTCTTCCTCCTCGCACTGAGCACGTCTCTTCCTTTTGAATGCGCCTGGGCTGGCTGGCTCTGTCGTTCCATAAATGCTTGCTGACATGGGCCTGCCGAGTGCTAGCGACCACTGTGGGAACGGGGGTCCTTCCTTTCAGCTAATGACTGTAGAGACAAGGCCTTCGCTCAGTTAAAACATTGAAAAGGACAATGTGAGAACCCCGAGTCAGGCACAAGAATCCGTTTTCATGTGACCATGATGCTAACTACCTCCCAAGAGAGCCCTCTCTCCCTGGGAGTGGCTGGGAGCTGGGAATGGGCGGGCTTTCTGCATGCAGAGAGAGAGAGAGGACCTCCCCAGAGAGGACAGGGCGTGGCACTGACCACTGCTGTGGGTGCTGTGGGTGCAGCTGGAATCTGGGGGTGAGTTTCCCACAAGGAGGGTTTGCCTAGGGAAGACATGGGCCGGACTTGGAGGGGCCTTCAACCAACTAGCTAGCAGATGCTTTCACCATGTCGGAAAACGGGTTCTGGTGTGAGCTTTGAGGGGGGGGACAGACCTGTGAACAAGCCCCTTTCCCAGGAGGGGGCATCTGTCAGACTCGGGGTAACTGTCATAGTCCTCCTGCTCTGTACATGGCCCAGTCATTCACCTGCCGTTGTCCCTTCAGATTCATGACCGACGCCGCCCGCCGGGAGCAGGAGTCCCTCAAGAAGAAGATCCAGCCCAAGCTCTCACTGACCTTGTCCAGCTCCGTGTCCCGGGGGAATGTGTCCACGCCGCCTCGCCACAGCAGCGGAAGCCTTACTCCCCCCGTGACCCCGCCCATCACGCCCTCCTCCTCCTTCCGCAGCAGCACCCCGACCGGTGAGTGGCTTGGCTCTCCCCCTTGGTGAAGAGTGAGTGTGAGTGTGAGTGTGAGTGTGAGTGTGAGTGTGAGTGTGTGTGTGTGTGTGTGTGTGTGTGTGTGTGCGCGCGCACGCGCGCGCGCGCTGGGGGCCAGAGATAGGTGGTGACTCAGACTCACCTGTTTTACCCTTGACTAGTCCGGGTAGATGTTGGTTCATTCATCTACTTACGATTGAAGAAATAATGTGAACCACTGTTCATCGTATGTATGTGACAATGGATTTATACTTCTCATGCCCTTGCCATGTCTTACGTGCAAGGGACAGGATGACTTGGCCTTGTGCAGGTGGAGGAGCAGGCAAACAAGATGGCCACGTGTCGGTTATGGTTGAAGCTGCATGATGAGGGCACAGGGGTTCAGGACACCAGTCTCCCAGTCTTTGCTTCTGGAAAATGGTTCCCATAATAAAATGATTGTTGTAAGAATATTTAGAAAGCCTCCCCGCGCCAGGCAAAGGAGAGTGTCTGTCCCGAAGAGCGTGGGCCTCGTGGAAGACATTGGCCTTCTAGGGGGTCCACAAGCACACTCTGTCTTCCCCTCCCCAAAGTGCTAGTCACTGAAAAGTAAAACAGCAGACAGAGGTGAAGTTCAAAATCAAGTTTATTCGTGCAGAAAGATAACCTATTGGACAGCGTGGATCCGTAGCCATAGGGCTTCGTAGCAGGTCTCCCTGGGGTTTAACTTATTTCCTCCCTCACCCTCCGAGCTTACCTCACAGTGCGCACAGACCCCTGTGCACTCAGCCCTCCATGAGCATGCGCTGTACTTCTCCCAATTCAGAGATCCACTGAGTCACTGCCCCCAGGGGCAGGAGTGAGGAAAGATGGTAGAAAGCCGGAAAGGTGGATCTCCTTTTCTTTTTCCCATCTGAGAAGCAGCGAATATATGTTCCTTCTCCCCAGTGGGAGTATAGGCCCAGGTATTAACCCAATAAATGCACCAGTAGCTACGACACTGCGACCATGACAAGCGCTCTGTGGAGGAGCTCAGTGCTGTGAAAGCATCCAGAGAGAGGTCTGGCGGACCAGGGAAGGCTCCCCTTGAAAGATGAGTGGGAGGCAAGATGGTGACCAGGGAGAGGAGACTCCCGGGGGGGAAGGGACTCCCAATTTTGCAATTTTGTGTGGGGAGATGCTGGGTTGAACGAAGGAAAACTGGTTTCCTTAAGGCAGGGCCTTCATACACATTGTTATTCTCCCGGGGGGGGGGGGGGGGGGCGCGGGGAGGGGACTTAGTAAAATCTCCCAAACTTAGTTGACTCTGATTCTGGGACCTCTTTTCCTACGGGCATCTCGGGGGCTCATGGAGGACTGACACCCTATGTTCTGTCAGCGTTGGGCATTGTGGAGACAGGATCGGTGTTGGAGGCAGTTAGACCAGAGTTCCTCCCTGAACAGCTCCCTTCACAAGTTATTAAGCACACGTCCCATAGGTTCTGTGTTCGAGTCTAACGTGAGAGCCCCCGTATGCATCCGCCGTCCAATAAATGTTTGTCTGTGCCGCCTGGAGTCTCCATCTGGTGGCTTCAGGAGCAGATCAGGGTCATTCTTCCATAGAAGATGAGTCAGTGCCTCTGTGCTGGGCGTTTGCCCATTTCCTCACATCGGCCCCCATGCTTCCCTTGTATTATACTTCCTTCTGCGAAGATTTACTTTCCAGCATGTTGTGTAACCGTTTCTGTGTGAACCCTAAGGTATGCTGTGGGAATGTAATTCTGTGATCACCTTTTCTGAGTATTTCTGTGAAGATTTACTCATACAGCTGAAACCGGTTTGGCTCAGTGGTAGAGCGTCGGTCTGCGTGCGACTGAAAGGTCCCAGGTTCGATTCCAGTCAGGGGCATGTACGTTGGTTGCAGGCACATCCCCAGTAAGGGGTGTGCAAGAGGCAGCTGGTCTATGTTTCTCTCTCATCGACGTTTCTAGATCTCTATCTCTCTCCCTTTCTCTCTGTAAAAAATCAATAAAATATATTTTTTTTAAAGATTTAATCATGCAGAATATAAATGAAGAGGCAATTATGCACCTGGGTGTGCTTTATGTATGACTTGATACTGACTGACTTGTGGCCAGCACCAGGTAACCATGGCTGCCTCGGTTAGTGAGTTTCCTTAGAATCCCAGGAAAATCAAGACAGTTTAGAAGTGAGAGTTTATTATTTTTCATGTAAGAATGTTCGGGCGAAATGGAATCATTCATTTCCTTTCCCTCAGCCCTAAAGAAATCTTTCTGACACCTTGCCTATTTTAGCAATTTCCCACCGCGAGGATGAATTTATGTTGTGGTAAAGATGTATCACTTTCAATCTGTCAAGATCATTGGTAAGTTATTTGCTGCTTGAAGAATGTTCCATGTAAACATCAAAAATTAGCAGGGGAAATGGTTTCTTAAACCCCTGCCCCGGACAGTTTTGATTGTGTACATTTTTCAATGTTTGAAATGTTATTTTACCTGTAGTTAGGGAGATCAGCTTCTTTTTCCTGACTAATGTGGTTTCAGTCACTTTCACTGCCAGGTTATAAATAATATTCCATGTTTCTGCCTTCTGCATTCACTCTCCCAGGGTCCATAGTCAAAGGCACATTCCTGATCCAGACGTAGGCCATCTTTGGAACATTTCATTTACAAATCATTCTTTACAGCTCACTGCCGTGATGAGACTGGATCCGAGCTCGGCTTCATCTGGAGTCTTGGGTATTGCTTAGGTATTCTTGGAACCAAGATGTAGTTTGGAATTTCTAAGTCCTAGGAGGATCTTCTCATCTCTTCCTTTTCATTTCCTCTCCTTATTTGCTTGGTTTTATAATATATATATATATATATATATGTGTGTGTGTGTGTGTGTGTGTGTGTGTGTGTGTGTGTGTGTGTGTATATGTGTGTGTGTAATTTAAAAGTATTCACTAAGCAAAGGTTAGAATGGTTAAGAATCATGGGTCAGCACACTTTCTATGAAGGACCAGATGGCAAATACCTCATGCTCTGCGGGCCATAGGGTCTCTGTTTCAGCTAGTCAGCTATAGAATTACACACACAAACAGGCTTGGTGTGTTCCATTAAAAGTTTTTGTACAACTTCATGTACAAACTCAGGCATGATTGGGCTCACAGGCCATGGTTTGCAAATCCCTGATTTAACTCATAAAGATACAAAATTAAGCCTTGACTGGTCTGGCTTAGTGGATAGAGCATCGGCCTGTGGACTGAAGGGTCTCAGGTTCGATTCCGGTCAAGGGCATGTACCTTGGTTGTGGGCACATCCCCAGTAGGGGGTGTGTGGGAGGCAATTGATCGATGTTTCTCTCTCATTGATGTTTCTAAGTTACAGAAACATTGATCAACTGCCTCCTGCACACCCCCTACTGAGGATGTGCCCACAACCAAGGTATATGCCCTTGGTTGTGGGCACATCTCTGGGATCAGGCCTAAACTGGCAGTTGGACATCTCCCGAGGGGTTCTAGATTGGAGAGGGTGCAGGCTGGGCTGAGGGCACCCCCCTCACCCCTGTGCACAAATTTCATGCACTGGGCCTCTAGTTGTTAAATATTCAGTTTGCAAGCCACTTAAATGATTAGCTTGAAATTGGCCATGGGGAGAGCATTTTTACCAGTGAAATTTGCAAATGCTACCTGTCAGGACTTCTGCATGCCCCACTTTACCTTTATACCACTCTCTTTTACTTTTAATACTTATCATATTATTCTTACTCAGTTTGTAGTTCAGGGGATCAGGGGCCTAACTATGTCTGTGAATCAGCATAAAGCAAAAATCAATCACTAATAAATAAATATTAGCCACTGCAAACAATGGATTGCACCATAGCCATTCACAACAAAGGTATGGGTCACTGTGAAATGACATTATCTAGTTATAAAACTACATATGCAGTATGATCCCAATCTTTTTTTTTTTTTTCATAAAAGTTAATTGTGGTTACTTTAATGTGATGGGGAAATAGGTGCTCTTTTCTTTTCCCTATCTTCTGAAATGAGCCTGTATTACTTTTTCAACTAAAACATAAAACCAGAAGATCCAGACAAGATGGCACTGACCCTATCTCCCCTATCCTCCCAAAAAAGAGAAATCAATTAATTTCTTTCAGATTAATTCCATGACCTTTCTGGGGGTGGGAAATCATTCTCTAGGAAGGGCCTTTAGCCAGCAGATTGTTTTGGTTATTAGTGCCTGTAGTTTAGTTGAGAAAGTCATTTTTTTTTCCTGTTTCCATATTAGCCCATGGACCTCTCTCTTCAAGGAGTTACTCTCAGTCAGGCTGAGATGGAAATCACCCAGAGAATTTTTCAGCCCTTTGCCTGGGCTCCACCCTGAGACTCTGACTTGGTTGGTGGGCGGGACTTTGACACTGATGGTTTTAAAACGTTCTCCTGGGTTAACTCTCACCTGTAGCTAGAGTTGGAAAACACTGTGACCGTCCGGTTGCAATGTGACCATCGGTTGTCCTAACTGGGTTTTCTTGCGTGGGTTAACATATCCCCACCTTGCCTGGAGAAAGGTGACTGTGGTTACTCACTTAGCCTGGGAAATGAGTCCAAGGGGACTGAACAGATGCGTGCTTGTGTCTTAATGGAGAAGCCATGGAAAGAGTTGGCCAGGTTTTGGGTTATAATAGCGTTGCATAGTCTCTCCTGGAAAATATTTGTATATATATTTTGGCTGACTCAGGGGGGAAAAATTCAAGTATTAAACCAGAGAAAGGCACCCAAGGGAATGAAACGTGTGTGTGTGTGTGTGTGTGTGTGTGTGTGTGTGTGCTTTCTAGTTCAGGCTACCTATAATAGCAGTGAAGTCACAGCTTATATCTATTAATGCATAATTTAAGTTTCTCTATTATGTTATTTCATGTCATATTCCTGTGTCTCCTGCTATTTAGTCTTATAGTACACCTTTAATATTTCTGATGGCTTTTTACAATACATTGTTCAAATTATAAGAATTTTG